TGGAGCCGTGGAGGTGAGGATGAAGTTGCAATCTTGGATTGTCAAGGGTTGATAGAAGGAAGAAGGGTTTTAGTGAGGAATATGTTGTAGAATTTATTCCAATAGTGTGTTATTGCAAGATTAAAGTGATGACAGAGAGGCTGGTGACAGCCATTGACATAGCTGTGTCAGATTGGATCTTGTTTTATGAGAATTTGATGAAGTCGATAAAGAGGACTTAGGGGACAGAGTTTGGAAAGTTATGGTAATGCAATTTTGTAATTTGGATGATATGTTTTGATTTTCTCTTCATTTTTGTTATGTGTTCAGATGTTACCTTAACACCTAAAAAGATTATATGGCTTTTTTCCTTTTATTGATTTTTTTTTCATTTAGCATATAAAAAAATAATTAAGAGGAAAAACAGAAAAGTACCTGGATACAACCAAAATTTATTAAACCAAACTCTTATTCATCAAATAACTCTTTTCATCATCATCATCATCGTCATCATCATCATCATGAAATGCCTCTTTTCTTTTCAATTATAATGGCTTTATTTATAGACTCAATGTAAGAATTGAGATCTCCCTTTACAAAATCTAATTTGGACTAGGAAGCTAACCCAAAACAACTCTTAATTTCTGTTGAACTAAGAAAAAACAAAGCTAAACCATAGGGCCATTTAATTTGTAAAATAACTCTAATAACTAGTTACTACTTGAACAAACCAAAAATTACTAAATATAGTAAATTATGATTTGTCATAAATAGTTATTACCAAAATTATTATAAGTAGTAAGTCAAAGTCACCATAAATATTGATTTTGATTCTTAATAGGAATGGTAAATTTCTAGAAGACTGGAACTTAACGATATTCATAAGATACCAAAAAATTAGAAAATAAATTTAAAAACTCAATAAAAATATTAATATTTCCATTCACCCAAAAAATCTAAAAGTTTTGTAGTAATCTGAACATTGATTTATATCTTTGTTCTTCCCTTTTCCTGAAGCAGAAAGTTTTTAACACACAACAATTGGCTTCCACCACAAATATTAGATGTGAATCGATCCAAAAGAAAGAGAATATTTTAATATGAAAATAGAAGAAAGAAAGAATATAGCAAGAGAAGAAGAGGAAGAGGATAGGATAAGAAGGGAGAAGGAGGAAAGAGTTCGATAAGTTCTCTCTCCTTTCTCCTAATCAATTTTATTAATTTAATCACATTGAACATCATTACGATGATGCCCTTTATGGAGCGGTCAACTCATAAACATGATTCTTCGTTTCTACCACTCCATTTTGTTGAAGAGTGTAGGTATAAGAGCTTTGATGAATAACTCCAAAGGTATCAAAATATGACGAAATGTTCTTTTCAATATATTCCTTAGCATTGTCAGAGCAGAATATTTTAATACGAATATTAAATTGAGGAAGAATAAATTCATGGAAGTGTTGCACAATGATTGAATTTCATCATGAGAACGCATGGGGTAAATCTAATTTAATCAAGAGAAATTGCCAACAAATAGAATGAAATATTTGTAGCCACCAATAGCAAGTAAACAATAAGGACCCCACACATAAAGTGAACAATATGAAACAGAGAAGCTGATCTTTTATTATGTAATGGATAAGAATTTCTACAACACTTAAGCAAGTCCACATGACTCACAATGAGACTATGTAAGGTTATTCCTTTAAAAAAGTTTGGAAACAAATGACTCAAAGTAGTAAAGGTAAGATGACCAAAGCGTAAATGACAAAACGTGACTTTATTAAAGGACTCTGATGAAATAGACTCCAAAGCATCTCCTTGAGGTGCTACTAGACTCTTGTCAGGTAAATCCAACAAGTATATCACATTTGCCTCATAGCCACCCCCAATCATCTTTTGAGATTTCAAGTCCTGAAAAACATAATGGGTAAGAAAAAAAAGGTTATACTATAATTCATAGACTTTGTTAAATTAACTAACAAAAGATTAGTGTTAAGTTTAGGAGCATGAAGAACAGAAGATAAAACAAGGGAGTCTGGGGTTCTGATGTCCCCCTTGCTTGAAATAGGAGAAAAGGACCCATCAACAAGGGGTATATTTTCAGAGCTAGAAAGGAGTTGGTATGAGCTAAAAAGGTTGGACATGCTGGTCATATGATTAGAAGCACTAGAATCTATAATCCTAGGGATTTCTATGATTACCTAACATAGTGGCATGATTTGAGGAGATCGGGTGTCCTACTGGTCATATGATCATCCTTTGCCAAAATATTTTGTCTAGTTACATCAAACTCAAGGTTGAGTCCAATAGGAAACTCAAAAACCATGTCCCTTTCCTTTATCTTTCTATAAGTCTCAGCATCCTTAGTACTTCCCCAAAGCAATTTTTTAGTTTTTTTTTTTCAAATCCAGTTCAAAGGGGCCGGTTTAAGGTCCATCCACCCCCTGAACTAGTCAAAACCCCGATACACCCTCTGTAGGGGCGTATCAGGAAGCTCCCGATACGATACGTATCAGCCAATACGTATCGATACTTTGAACCTTGACTTCAACATAGAATAATATACAACCATAGATTTCTCCCCTTGTCTTAAATTATTGGCATCATTTTTCAATTTATGGACCCTGTCAACATTCAATTTTTGGGAATATGTTTCTGTGACACTATCCCAAATCTCTGTGCCTGAATCAGACCAAAGGTAATGCTGACTTTTATGCGGCTGCATGGAGTTAACTAACCACCCAAATAACTATGTAGTTCTTTTGCATCCATTTTTCAAATGTAGGGTCAGTTTGGCTTCTTCTTACTGCCTATTAAATACCCCAACTTGCCTCTACTACAAACATGAATCCATATAGACTGTGCCAAGGTAGGTAATTTGTCCCATCTATCCTTGATTGTAGCCACAACATACTACAAAGGTTCTATAGACCCTATCAGACCAACTCCGGACTCTAGGTTCTGCTTTGTCTTGGCTCTAGATTGTTCCATTGACTAGTGACTCTAGACACATTCCCAACTGAATTTGATCCCTTCTAGAAGTTAAGTAACATCTGCCGAGCCTTAGGCACCAGCCTAACTCAACCTCCTTGACCCTTAACTGCGAATCCCTCTAATCGGCTAGGGTTTTGAGCAAAAGAAATGACAGCAACTTCTTGGCATCCTAACAGCCAGATTCTGGATATCTAAACCCTTCTCCAACTAGGCTGCAAGCAACTAAGAAAAATCTGCAATCTAACCCTCCATACACTCTTCCAATTGAAGGGTGTATGAGATTGAAGAGAAAAAAGAGAGGAGAGGGTTGCTCTGATACCAAGATGTGAATCAACTGAAAACAAATAGAATATTTCAATTTGAAAATAGAAGAAAGAAAGAAGATAGCAAGAGAAGAAGAGGAAGAAGGGAGATGGAGAAGAGAGTTTAATCATACTGAACATAATTACAATGATGCCCTTAATGGGGTCACCAGCTCATAAACATAACATAAGAGGAATAAAAAAGAAGTTTATAGGTCCATATAGACAAGGCCATTAACATAAACAAAGTGTTTTAAAAGGTGTGGGAGGTGTGTGCCTCCAGGCGAGGCACCCCCCAAAATGCCCTGAGGCATACGTATGCTAGAGGTGCTGATACCTCTGAGGTGTACGGCTCATACACCTTTTTCATGAGGCGTGCTATAGGCGTATGCCTCATGTGCCTCGTGCACATTTCATATAAAAAGACAGAAAAAAAGAAAAAAAAAGAAAAAAAAAAGGAAATGAAAGGGAGGGGGAAAGATTTTTATTAAAAATAAAGAAAAATGAGATCCTCCTTCCTCTTCTTCCTCCTCCCCTTCCTCCTCCTCCTCCTTCCTCCTCACCCCCTCCTCTTAAGGAGGCTTACGCCTCTTACGTTCTGAACTACACCTCAGGCCTCTAGGTAGTGGAATGCCTCGCGTCACGCCTCCAAGTTTTAAAACATTGCATAAACATAACTAATAAAAGAAAACAAGAATAAAAGAGCACTAGGGCCCATTCAGCCCAATCTCTCTACAATATTAACAAGCAACCAAAAAGAGTAGATAGAAGAGGAAGCAAGAAAAACTGTTACTATAGCTGCTGGCTATGGTAGAAACAGAAAGTAACTCTTTTATCCACTCCTTAGAAGGCCAAAAACAAGAAACAGAAAGTAACCCTTTATTCACCCTTTACAAGACCCATTAAACTCTTTTATAGACCAAAAAACAACTTCCTACTTGTATTTTGACTTCAAAATTAGAAACTTCCTTCTCAAACTAGGTCACTTTTATAACTTTCTAATTCTACTAAAACTGACTTAACATAAAAAACCAGAAGTTAATAAAAACAGAGTCATAAATTTACTATAAATAGAAATTATAAAACATACAATAAATAGCAATATAGGGGAATTATTATAAATTCCAGTGGGGTCCCACTGGGTACCCTGTTGACTTTTATTTTGATCATGACCTGCAGAACCCAAAAGTCAGTCATCTTGAATTCTTCAGTTGGGGCATTTCTACATGTTGGCTTGAGCTGAAAGTCTATAGTTATTTGAGCACTATAAGTGTACTTCACTAGCACCTGATATCAACCAAATCAAACGAGGTTGGACTGTTCAACCAGTTGATTCTTTCTTGATTGATGATGCATTCTACAAATTTACCATCCAACCCCCTTCAATTTCTTTTAGACTTGCTTAAAGTTTTACTTTAACCACTTGTATCACTTACCTATCTGCATCGTGGTGCAATCTACTGATGAGTTTGAACCACCCAACCCCTTTTCTTCATTTCAGGTTCGAGATATATTTTCAAAAGCAGCTGCTGCAGCTCCTTGCCTTCTATTTTTTGATGAGTTTGATTCTATTGCACCAAAGAGAGGGCATGATAATACTGGAGTTACTGATCGTGTTGTAAATCAAGTTAGTTTCTAGTTTTGAGACTAATTTTAAGCATGCAAATTTGAGAACCAGTTTTCTTATTGTCTTCTTCATTTTCTTGCAGCTGCTGACTGAACTGGATGGTGTTGAAGTCCTGACAGGAGTTTTTGTTTTTGCTGCTACTAGGTTGGACTGTTCACCTTTTTTCATGCTTGTATAAATGTCACCAGTGTTTGTATTCTTTTTTTGTCCTGTCACCAGCTGAAGTTTGTATTGTGCATTACAGTCGACCAGATTTACTTGATGCTGCACTCCTGCGACCTGGAAGGCTTGATCGCCTTCTTTTCTGTGATTTCCCATCATGGCACGAGAGGGTAGATATTCTAACAGTTCTTTCTAGAAAGGTCAGTAATGCCATTTTAACAATGCATGGTATTAGTTTCTTTTGTGATTTCTACTGCTGTAGTCGTAAGGTTATGCTGTTTTCTTTCCCATGAATGTTTTTCTAACACACTTATAATCCAAGGGAAAGCTTTAAAGAGGAAAACTTACAACAAGAAATACTTCTGAGATAATAAGTTATGTAATATATGATGTTTCATAATCTGGAATAAACAAAAAAAAAACATAAAAGAAAAATGGATGGATTTTGTATATTTACAGAAGAAGAAAATAAAAAGAATGCCACAGGTTTACTGAAATTGTTCGTAACACTAGAAAAGGCCCCAGTAATGGGATTTTATGCTTGTCTCCAAGGCCCTAACTCAAGATAATTTCACAGCATAATTGTCAAGGCGATGCCTAGGTGACAAGGCACCATTGGAGTTTTCCCTCACCTAATCACCAAGCAGTTTTGTATACTATCTCATAAAATATTATTATAGTCTTAATTTTTTGAGATTAATTATAAAATAGACCTTATTAAACTAAAATAATCATTTTGTGTGTTTATAATACTAATTTATTTTTATCATTTTCTTATTTGTTAGGGTTTAATCCACACAGACATCGCTAACTGCCGTATTAAACCCTCAAAGACTTCAAAACCTAAACTAACAAGTAGGGAAGAACTTAAAGTTTTGTCTAATCAACATATTTTCTTCTGCATCTTCTTATTATTCTTCTCAACTTTTATTTTCTTCTTTTCCTATAAAAAAAAATAGTTGTTCTGCCCCTATATTTTTTGAATTTTCTTTTCTTTCTTCTTTTTCTTCTCATGAATATGTTAATTTTCTAGACTTTAACATGAAGTTTATACTTTTCTTATGAAGATTTTGGATAATCATTATGGAAATATGGTTATGGAACCTAGGAACTACTCTAGGATATATGTTTTTACTTAAAAAAATAAGACCTATTCAAGGTTCGGGCTTCAGGCCTGACTTTATACTGTGTCAGGCTCGGGCTTCGGGCCGGGCCAATTCAAATTTTGGCAAAAGCCAATCCTGAGCCCAGCCCATGAACATGTCTATTCACAGTGATTGTTTTCTTCTTGAAAATGTGTATACATGAGCTCTTTGTTCTTTCCTTGTTGGCTAATCCAACCCATATAATGTTACGCTTCTCTTTGATTTGGTGGCGGAAATGGAGTGAGGAAACTCAACAAGCTATTAAAATACAGAGATCTTATTGCAAGCATGGTATAAAGTGTCTAAGTATTTCCAAATATTTTCACAAAATATTTCCATTACTGTAGATATTGAAACGCAATATTATTGGAGATTATCTCAATATATTCCATAGTATCTTTAATATTTTTTTATTGTTTCAACAAGTTCCACTTTAACTATATCAATGCAGGATTTTAAATTTACATGTATAAGAGGATGATATACTAGTGAAGAAGATAACTGATAACTTACATTATTATCATATTACATAATTTACTTGATCATTTGTAAACATAAAACTTTTGTTTATTAGTATCTTGTTCTTTCTTAGGGACTGTTTTCTAATTTATACTTGATTGCAATTATTGAATTCTTTTTGGGTGAGGTCAAACTGTTGAAGACATTCAATATTTTATCTGCACTTAATTTTCTTCTCTCTACTCTTGCTCAGTCACTGATCATCTCCTGGTTCCAATATGGTATCAGAGCTGATTGGATTGTCCAAGAGAGTTTAGAAGAGCAAAGTGCAAGTTTGGTTTTTTTCCACATCTATCTTTGCGCAATCTGTTGTCACAATCTGCAAGTGGATATTATTAGGCAATGAAGATTTTTTTTTCTGGAATCTTTTAGGGGTGTTTTGATCAGTCCAGTATCTTGAAATTCATTGGGTAACAGAACATATCACACCATAGATCAGAGTGATTTTCTTTGAATGAAGGCACATCCTTTAGATTTAGAGTTTTTTTTTTTCTTTTTATTTTTTTATTTTTTTTGGGGGGGGAGGGTAGGGGGGGCGGCATAGTTAGAATACCATTATATCTAACATGTCTTCTCCAACATTCATTCTCCCATGCACCCCACAATCTATTCTTCTCCAACATCTCTTCTCCCAAGCTTTCTTCTTTGCTTCTCTTCTTATTCTGAAATCTCACTTCTTGCTTTCTGTTTCTACTTATTTACTGCTGCTAAAACACATGTATATGAAATATTATATATTATGTATAATATATTTAGTCATCGGAATAATAAAGCTCAGCTTAGGCCTGGCCTGCCCATGATCACCCCTAACCCAGACCTTATACAATTGGATCGGTTCGGTTTGGGTCTGTCTGGTCTACCTGACTCGTTAACAGCCCTAACTTTTGTCAAACAATCAGAGAACTAAACTTCAAATAGATAGCAAACACACTTCTCCACTAGCAACTCCCCTTCTAATAAAATTTTTAAAACTTAAATATGTTTGGTGTGATCATGTTGTATTGGTCTATGTGCAATGTTTATAGCTGCCCAATTATCATCGTCCTTAGAACTTGATTTGGTAACAAACTACTTCTTACTTGTCCAAGAAACAATATTACCTCTTACAAAGGCACGATAATCTTATGTAGACTACCCATCATCAGTGCTAATTTGATCTAATTTGCATTAGTATGATCCTCAATCCCAAGATGTCCATGACAAGAATAAGGCAAGCCTCTACGAAGAGAGCTCTTCAACTAACACAATATCTTGTCAACTGCAACCACCGGCCGAAGTCTAAGCATGCATAAATATAACAATCTCCTAACCAGCCACTGAAACGAATGTTGCATGGACACCCCACCTTTGGAAGGGACTCAAGAGTCAGTCTGCATTCGACTCTCCAAAAAATGTGTGAGACTTATCTGTAGTGCAAATTAGGCAAATTTACTAAAATGCTCAGCACATCAACTATCCAAAATTACAAAATCCTCACTTTAAACACTTCTATGCAACAATGCTCCAACCATTTTATGCTGTCCAATAGGGCACTCTAGTAATTTTATTTTTCCATTTTACACATAACTTATGATCCATTGTTTGTTGGATCTTTTCAAAATAATATCAAAATTAGGAAAATAATGAAAAACAACTAGTGTGGCCATGTGGTGAATAGCAAAGGCTGTGAGTTTAACTTGTCAATTGTAAAAATAATTTAACTGTTTAAGCTGTTATGATTATATAGTTCTATTCTTTTTATAAGAAATATTTAATAGTAGTGATATTCAATGCATATATAAAATATTATTTATGTGATGTGTCCACAAATCCTAATTTTTTGGGTTCACTGAGTAGGATTTCTTAACACATGTCAGCTTCCAACTCCCATTTTCAACTTGCTCATACATTAGTAGATAATATACAATGATTAGATACAGCCACTTCAATGCCTTGGAACTACTACCTTATCTCTCCTAGTTCTTTAATCTCAAGTTCAGTGCTAAGAACTGTTTTAACAGCTCAATTCTAGTCAAATTTGAACTCTGACTTGCTAACTAATGAACTAAAAATAATGAAACTTTAATAGAAATTACTAGACTAATTGGTGGCTAGGCAGATAGGGCCATGTGGTCGCACTTTGACTTTGACCAAACATCCTTGCACTTAGTAAGACTTAGCAGGTATCCCAAACCCTACATGTCCTTACCTGAATACCCACTAAAACAGAGAGACCACAATATAAAGTTATAGAAGAGTAATAATGAAATTATCAATGATAGTATAGATATGAAAAAACTGTGACAACATGCTTGTTCATGTTTATACACAAGGAGACCGACCGACCATGACTCATGGCCATTGGACTAGTGTCTCTACACCTACATCATTGAAATCTAATGGCTACATGTTGCTTCAAATATGGAAAATATGGATACAACTATCCATTTTTTTGGATCCTGGAGATGCATATGTATTAGTTATCCATTTAATATGTCATTTATCTTAAATTTTTAAAGCATAGTATCTCCTGTTAATGCTTATATCTTTCCAAATTTAATTAATATTTTAGCATCCATAATTTTTGTTGACAGATGTTGTTATTCACAGGTTTAGTACCGCAAGGGTACTGTTGTAATTTTCCCCATCTTTATGTTGTACGACTAGACTAGTATAAATAATAACTACTGCACACGCCTGCAGTATTCTGTGGGGCTTTTCAGTCCTCTCGACTCTCCTCTCCTCTCTCCTCTTCTCTCCTCTCCTCTCTTCTCTTGCTTTTGCTCAACATGGTATCAAAGCAAGTCGTCCATGCCTGAAGGGTGGTGTCAAGCAAACCTGTTGTGTTCAATGTCGAGCAGATAGTCTCTTCATCTCCCAGAGCTGTATCCATCAAACTGCTAATCTGTTGTGTTCAGTTCGACCTTGTGCAAGAAGATGCCTACAACCCAGAAGTTATAGAGAGAGCTGCTAATCTGTATCCATCATCCTGCCTGACTTTTCATCTTCCAGTGCAGAAAAAGGGTTCTAGTTATAGAGACTTTTCATCTTCCAGCCCAGAAGTTGTATCAATTGTCTGTTCGACTGTAGAGAGGCTATCATCTGAGGTTCGTAGAGGAAGTTCTGGTTTACAGAGAGGCTATCATCTGATGTTCAAAGAGGTACTGTTCATCTACTGTTCGGCTGCCCTGCTGATTGACTGTTCAGCTGATTGATGGACTGTTGATGGACTGTATTTCTTTAACAAAGCAGCTATATTCAACTGATTTTTTTTTGTATTTCTTTACCCCTTTGATGGGCTGGTGATGCCCTAAAGCTGGTGTTGTATTGATCTCATTGATTGACTGTTCGGCTACCCTGTTGATCTCATTGACTGTTCGGCTATCAGGTCTGCCGATTAGGTGTGTGGTGAACTTCACCCTGTATTTTCCATTCTGTTGGGGGGGTCATATGACCTCTGTACAATCGTAGGTCATACAGACCTGTTCCAGTACTGCAACAGCAATGTCTTTGCTCCCAGTGAAACCGTAGGTCAGAAGGACCTGTTTCTGTGCTGA